TCTAAGATACCTATTTGTTCTCTTGCCTGTAGTGCTAGTTATCATTCTAGATTGTTGAGTGTCCAAGATAACAAGTGTAGGGATGGCTGACTCCTCTTCCATATTAAGAAACTAGATTTCACTCTTGTTGCTCAGAGCGCCAACAAATGTCAACAGCATTGACTCCTTCTAGTAATCAGGATCCGAGCAGTTTGATGTACTTTCTTTAAACTGCAGAATGACTCGTGCATCAACTCATGCCTATAAGGTCTATTGTTAGAGCTATCTTACATCACAGCTCAGCCATGGAGGATAGTATTCATGTTTACATCTCGCACCGTCATCATAAGTAGATACCCTTCTGGACAGTGATACAGTGGAAAGAAAGTAGTTCCTACATGAAACAGCTCACAACTAGTCCCATGCAAGTGGTTTTTTTTGCTTGTTTTTGGGTAGAACTATCCCCTAAGATAACTGTCACAGGATATTATCATAGCGTGAATGAGCATACATGTTTTCTTTTTTTACTCTTCTGGTCAGATGTTCTACATATAAGGTTTCTGCAGAGCTGACTTTGCTCTGGGTTTCATTTCATACCTCTGCATCGTACTTTAATCACGGGGTTACGTTTCTGGGTGTACCTTACATTGTATCAGTGGCAGATGAAAGCTTCACTATGCTTTGGTTCATCTGTACACAGACCTGTTTGGTCGAATTAATCAACAAAAGCTTTAGCATACCAGAATGCAATGCAGCTACATTTTTAGTGACATCACTGCAATCACGGACACTCCCAAGTGTTCATAAACCCGATGACTCTAAGCCATAATAAACTGTTCTGTAGAGGTTGTTAAAAGCAATGCATGTGTTGTAAGACAAATTAATTGTAGAACAGTATGAGAAGAATGTTCCTTAAGGCGTCTGTAAAAGCTAAAAATGCCATTTTCCCCCCGGACACACTTTCTATAATGAATTAAAAAAAAAACCTGAATGAAATGTTATAGTACAGCTTGACTTGTATATGTTGTTATGGAAGCTTTGTTGTAACATGATGTTGCTCAGAAGTCAGATATTTCTGATAGTATATCTCTTTTGCTGGTTACCGGCACCTGAGGGTAGCAGAAGCAGAGTTTGGCTGCAGATAAAGGCAGAGACTTGCTGAGGAACTTGTTGTAGCCGCAGGTCAGGGTTGCTCCATAAAACGAAGGTACTACCACATGTACCAACATGCTGTCATTTCAGTACAACTGCAATCCCTGTTAGTGAGAGTTAATGTGAAGCAGCACTGCCCCCTTCTGGAACAACCTTGTATTGAAGTTATCTGACGACTTTATAGGATTCATTATGTCTCCAGAATTAAAGTTGATCCTGAATGAATTGTACTCAATGTGTTTTTGATTTTATGAGAGGTGAAAGATGAGGGTTTATGATTGAAAATAGTTGCCGCTGGAGGCTGTGCACTGTGAGGATCATGTGCACACTGCAGGACAGAGTCTCTGTTGTTGTCTCCTCACACTAGGCCTGTGAAGTCAAGGAGAGGTTGGATCTCTGTGTGTGAGGAGAAAAGAGTGTGCGCTGATAGGCTCTGTGAACAGATGCCTCGTGTCCTTAATAGACTGACTGTAAATGACCTTATGCAATCATACTTATCAAAAGGGAAATTGGATTTTGTGACTATTGCTCCATTAAAACAAAATATATAATAATATAATTAAATCTCAAATACAATGTATTTCTGTTTTCTATAAAAACAATCATTTAAAGTAAGGATTTGTTAAAAACAATCATTCAATTAAATAAAGATATTTCTATAAACATAAGATTTTTAAGTATGATTTTGCAATACCAAAATCTCATGAAATAAAGATATTTATACAAACATAAGTTGAAGTAAGAATTTGTAATATAAGATATAGTTCTTTAAAAATATGTATATAAACACATAAGTTAAAGTATGAATTTGCAATACCAATTACTAATAAAATAAAGCTTTTACTATAAAATAAAAAGTTAAAGCACACATTTGCAAAAAAAAACGTAAAATAAAGATATTGAATGGAATAGAGGAATGTCCAATAAAGGAATTTATATAGAAGAAAAATATGTATAACCTAATAAGTGAAAGTTAAAATGTGCACACTGTGCTACAATATATAACATGCAATACAGTATTAACAGAGGCATATTAGTATTAATATAATATTAATGCCGAATTGCAGTTTATAAGGGTTTGGATTCTGATGGTGAAGTAAACTGTTTAAATTGTGCAATTCAGCATTAATATTATATTACTACGAGCCAAAGTATTAAATGTGCAAGCATAAAAAACATCTGTCATCTGTTTTTGTCAGAAGACCCTGTGTGATTTAGTTTCCCACCCAACGAGAACGTATAAACGATCATCTTTTGAACCCAGCACAGTTATACAGGGTGTTTCTCAATGTCGAGGACGCTTGCTTAGTAGCACATGTCTTCCGAGTCACTTGCTTCAGAAGCGAGGCAAGAATCCTTCCTAGCCTCGGAAAACGAAGAATTGTGGAACATGCTAGCAGGTGTGCGTCATATGCGCGGCCCCGCCTTAAATAGAGCGTGATTTCTGCCAAAGATTTGGATATTGGTCCGCGCGCAAAGCATTGTGGGGATTTTAAGACCGTGGAGTCTACACATGTGCCTCGAAATTTCCCGCAGCGAAGTACGCCGGCCTCGGTAGAATTCCAAGCATCCTGAACATTGGAACAGTCCTTGGGCGGGACTCGATGACGTAGCATCCTTGAACTAGTGGCTCTGGAGCAGCCTTCCTCGACATTGAGAAACACCCGAAGTCTCCATTAGCATGGCCATGATGAGCTGGGATGTTTCCTGCAGTCGTGCCCTCATATTATGCCCCTAGGCCTGCTGAGATTACAGAGTTGTGACCACCCTCCATGGCTCAGGAGGAAGACTGTTCCCTTGAAATTGCTACCTATCTACTGCCTTTTGCATCTAATAAAACCTTTACTGAGTGAAACCGCTATTTAGAGTTCTGAGCAACAAAGGTGGGAGGAGATCTTGCTCTCAGCCTCTTCACTGACCAGGAAATACACATGTGCATACTGTGAAGGAAAAGTTGTTGTTTTTTACTACTTTTACTCAAGTTCTTGCAGTGTCTGTGTTCACAATAAGAAATCCTTTGTTTAGCCTTCAAATGTATTTCAAATGGTAGAGCTGAAATAATACATCCAGTGACCAATTTACTGACCAAACATTTTTTTTTTAATACCTACAATTCTTTTTGCTCTAGGATATAAAATGTATATCTTTTGATTTTAGTCAAACACAAGAGACATTTTCTGGGAATGAATGATGGCAGCTTATTAATATTTTCTAAATAATTTGCGGTCCGAATTACATGACATGACACTTGTTAGACGCTTTTATCCAAAGCGACTAACACACATTCAGTACTGTGGTTAATCCCCACAGGAGCAGTTTGGGGTGAAGTGTCTTGCCCAGGGACACAACGACATGCTGACTGCAGTGGGACTCGAACTTGCTATCCCCTGTTTCAAAGTTATTGTTGTGAAAAGACTGAATAAATATCTTTCACTTTTATCTAGAAATGCTACTTGACTTTGATAATGAGTTGCCTAAACTTAGACCCTCCAGAAAAACGCGATTCTACGATCGCAGAATTTACCGCATAATCAGCAAAATGGCGCAGATTTTTAAAAGGCCGCATATTTATCAAAAGGCCGCATAATCCCCGGATTTTTCCACACAAAGTTGAGGGAAAAAAAAGTTAACTAGTCTTGACGTGACGTCATCAGCTCGCGCATCACAGAATATAAACAACACTGTATAGAGTGAACGTGTGGAGCTCACACGATAGAGAAAACACCAAGATGACAAAATGTAATCCATCTCATTTACCGACGAACATTTCTACTAAAGACCGGGCAAAAAGTGGGGGGAAACTATTCTGCAGCCCGTGCAACTGTGTGTTGGAGCATAAGAGAAAATCAACGGTGACGACCCACTTTGATTAATTCAAACATTCAAAAATGCTTTCTGCTGCTGCGGACAAGAAAGCCAAACAACTCACGTTCACCGAGGCATCAACCTCCAAAACCCTTTCGAGGGCTACAAGAAACGAAGTGAGTAGCCTACAAGATTGAAGCTGCAGATAACGAATGAGTAAATGAAAACAGAATGAGGCGGAGAAGTGTGTGTGTGTGTGTGTGTGTGTGTGTGTGTGTGTGTGTGTGTGTGTGTGTGTGTGGTTTGTTTTGTGTGTGTGTGTGTGTGTTGTGGGTGTGGGTGTGTTGGTTGTGTGGGGTGGTGTGTGTGATTAAAATAGCCCAATTGCTTTTACAATAAATAAACATTGAATGTGTTTAATTGAATAGTAAAGGGGTTTAACGTTAGTGGCAGGGTGTGTGTGAGAGAGAATAAATAAGACAGCCCAATATTTTAAAAAATTGTTATTCTTTTCCCCCGCATATTTCGCAACTTCCCGCAATTTCACCGCATAAAACCCCCGCATGTTTAATCGCATAATCAAGGAATTTAGCCCGCATAATCAAGGATTTTTGCCCGCGTTTTTTCTTCAGTTTAAAACTGCCCCTGTTTTTAGACTGGGTCACAATGATATTTGATTGAGTCATTTTCAACTAAACCACAACAAAAACTGAAGCAAAGGAATCAAATGCCATTGATTCATATTTAAAATTCCCCCCAAAACTCAGTGCAGGGTCTCTGTGGCTGAAAGTTGAACCCAGTGATATTTTCTTCATCTGCATTGCCTTAAAATGACTCATGATGCCAATTGTGGATTCATATCAAACAAAAACTTGAAATTCCAGTATCAATGTACTGGGTTGGCTTGTGGTTTGCTGAGTAGTACATTCAAAAATCAACAGTCAGAACAAACGGAAACAACCTCTGTTGGATAGAAATGTCTCTGTTATCTATCAACTACACATTCTGTATGACTTCTGTTTGAATGTCCTGTCTGTTATTCACTGCTGTATTCTGACCACCAGGTTTGCTGGAATGGGTAACCTGCTAAAAGTCCTAACAAGGGATATAGAGAACTATCCACGCTTTTTCCTGGACTTTGAAAGTAAGTCTGGCGGAGGAGTGGATCAAAGGCACAAAAGATGGATGGAGAGGGGGGGGGTCTCTCAGCTGCTTGCTCTCTATCAGCAGGTCTCGGTGAAGAAGCCTTGAGGAGTCTGCTTTCTTCCATTTTTTTTTCTCCTTTTTTTCCCTTCACTGCGTCTGGACCTCCCGCTCTTTCTTCGTCTGTGTTCAAATAACTTATTCAAGACTTTTTAACCTCACACTTTCTTCCTTTCTCTTGTTCTTCTCTCTTGCAGAAACCAAATGGGGAATCTGTTAAAAGTGCTCACTTGCACAGAGCTTGAACAGGGGCCAAACTTTTTCCTTGACTTTGAAAGTGAGCTCAGCTTCTACCTGTCTTTGTGCTAGGCAAAATCCCCTAAATTCATTTTTCCTTTTACCCCTCTTTAGCTGCTCTCACTGGTCAGGGGTCAGCCTATTCAACTGTTAAACCTCCCTGCTTTGCATTCATTTGACTGATTTATGTCTTTGAAATCCTTTCATTTGAGAAATGTTGAAGAAGAATGGAGCTGTCCCTTGACCTTTGCTGCCAGCTTTTACTAACTTATGTGCATGCACCACTCTCTATGTGCACTTTTTATACAAACTGTCATCAACGGGTTGCTCATATTAGCGCTGCAGATACTTGAATATACCAGGGAAATATTTCAAAAGTGGATATAAATACTCAAATTGGCACAAACTCATTTGAGGTTACTCTTTTGAAAAAGCAAAAGATGGCAGCAATTTTCCACCAAAGATGTCTTGGAAATATCGGGAGGGGGGGTTTGCCATAAAATCACTGTCACTTGCCCTTTAAGAATGATCTGGGTGTCAAATCATACATTTTCGGCCATGTAGAAACCAAAATCAGATGTGAGGTATTACTCGGAAGCTTCTTTTTACCATGTCTAAGCCATAACATCTAAATAATCTTCCAATGGAAAACTGGGTGGCTTATCATGCATGGTAGATTAGATGGTGGAGGTATTTTGAGGTGTACGAGTGCAGTGGTGGAGATGGGCACACTGTTGACATCATGGCGTTCACTGTCGGCTAACAACTTTTGCTAGGCTATAAGACTAGTGCCCAGAATAATTTGTAATAAACACAACACAATAAAGCTCAGAAGAATTGACTTCAATTCAAAGTTAAAATGGAAATGGCGACCACCATTTTGTACTTTTTTTAATGAATGGCCCCAGAGGAATGAATATGGAAATGTTGGTGCCTGTATCTACTTTTGAAAGATTGCTACAGCCATCTGCAGCACTATATAGTGTATTTAATAGTTTCCTCTCCTGCATTATGCTCACACTTGTAGTTATTATTTCATTTTGTAATCAGTGTTATTTCAATATATGAATGCTTTTAAAACTCCACGTTCCATCACTGCAGCAACCACTTTACCACCCTGCTTCCCTATGTTCAACATCAAATAGACAAAGTGGTTGTTTTTTTTTTTTTTAAAGCACATAAATCTGCCTTCTCTTCTTCCTACCGATAAAAACCCCACAAGACGCCTCCACAGTGGCATTGAGTCACCATCACAATGTAGCCATCCCTTTGTTTATTCAGCAAAGAGGAAATGATGGGAGTGGAGGGCCTTTAGAAATGCAAAACAGACACAGTTTAAAAGTCACTGACGCTCTGAATTTAGAGCCGTCTCAGACTCTGTCTCTGGTCAAGTTAGCAAAACTCTGGGAATTATTGTTACATTTAAAACCTGACCTTGACCTTAAAAAAATCACCTAAACACTAAGGCAAATCCAACTTATATGAGATAGTGAATATAATGCAATTAATTGATGTTCTTATGTGACATATTCAATATATTCTTGCTGTAGCCATGCAGGAAGTACGATATATTCAGTCTATAGTTGCAGACATGACAGAGTAAAGTAGAATTATGTTTAAATATGCAATAGAAATACCATGAATTAAATGTGGTAAAATGTATATGTATTATAATCAAGACTTGTAAGACATCTGTTTATGTTTACCAAGGACAAGTGCATGATCAAAACTGAAAGAAGCGCAATATTTGGCAAAACATTTAAAAATATAATTCTATAGAAAGTATTGTGGTTCTGCAGAGAAGTCCCAGCCTACAAACGGTTATACAAACTTAATACAAATAAAGTTCTTCACAAAAATAATTGTATGGTACAAATCCTCATCATTTTAAAGTAGTTTTCAACATTTGTTTAATAATGGTTAATAAATAAGTATTCCCCATATATATCACGAATCGTATCGCAATTGCAGAATCGGTCAGAATCGGTCAAATTAATTGCAATTAGTTATTTTTCCCAAACCGTTCAGCCCTATTTTAGAACAATAACCAATTGTTCCTTATGTCGACCCAAGAGCTAGCTGCATGCTTTGGATCAGACTGCCCTAAGAACACTTAGTCTAATAGCACACTCTGCATACCTTCACGCTAGTCCTTATACAGGCAACTTCTGAATATTTATACTTTAAAATGACCTTAATTTTTTTTCCATTGTATTATGTTGAATGTTTTTGATCACAATCTTGTATGAGTTACTATGTAGTGACAAAAACACTCGGCACACATTCCCATGTTCCCCCAGTGATCGTTCCATTATGATGGAAAAAAACGGTCATTACTTATTTAATTAAAGTCCTTTCACATCAAATTACAATATACCATTTCAACTAGCACAATTTAATCTGCTAAAATCACAAAACACAGATTGATTCTTGATATGAAAAGGAATAATTGTTTTTTTCCCATTGGAATAAGAAATATAGCAAAAAATAAGATCCGTGGCAAACACACATCTATTATAATAAGTTTATTCAGCAGGATAATATTTATATATTAACACTTCTTTATGATTATGAAAGCATACATCCAATCACCAGAAGTAAAAACTAACGCTCTACAGTAGAATAGCTTACTATTATTCTGGCATGTGTGTTTTTTGTTATATTTGTGTATTCCCTTCATGTGTCCATGTATTCACATCTCTGTGTTGGGTGTGTCAGATGCTCAGCCGACAGAAGGAGAGCGGGACGTGTGGAACCAGGTGAACTCGGTCCTGCAGGACTCTGAGAACATCCTGATCAGCCTGCAGTCCTACAAAGGAGCCGGCCAGGAGATCAGAGATGTAAGACACACACACACACACACACACACACACACACACACACACACACACACACACACACACACACACACACACACACACACAATCAATGGTGGTATGTAGTGAAATACATTTACTCAAGTACTGTACTTAAGTACGGTACCATTTTTAAGCTTCTTGTACCTCGTTATATTTCATGCTAATTTATACTCCTGCCCCTGCTAGAATATAAGCTTATACAAAATATATATCGTCTAATAAATAAACATTGTCATATCATTATAGGTTAATATATATCCAGCAGCAGTTTACAAAGTAATTACATTTATCTCCACCTTTATCAGCTGTAATTAATGCATCTCAAATCATATTACTTGGAGCTTGAAGTATATTTTGATGACAATACTTTTGCACTTTTACTTTAGTAAGATGTTGCTAGCAGTGTAATTTTACAATGAAGTATAGGTACTTTGACTGCATACACTACTGTCAACATGTAAAACAAATCTGAACAGTTTGCAGAGAAGAATAAGCTACATTGCAAATAATTGAAGGTTTCACTGAAACACAGGACCAATGATTTAAACCTTCCCCTCAACGTACTGAATGTGTGTCTGTGAGCATTGCGTCTCTAATAATGGATGTTTTCTGATGTATTTGCTGAATTGTATCTTTTTCTCCCAGGCAATTCAGAACCCCAACGACTTCTCGCTGCAGGAGCGGGCCTGGCACTCAGTGTGCCCGCTCGTCATCAAACTCAAGAAGTTCTACAGTTTCTCCCTCAGACTAGGTATGCTCACTGTGAACTACCAAATATATTGTGCTCACTTTTTTTGTATTTCAGTAGCCAGTTGGTTTAAAGACGGAAAAAAATCAGAAAATCAGCATCATGTCTTTAGAAATCTGTTGTTTCAACCTCTGAACGTCAAGTTTTGATTATGCAACAGACAGTGGCCAGAACCAAATTCTGGACAAAAGTGCGTGCCAACAATCAGTAAACAGCATCCTGTAACCCTGTGACATGTTGACCTTTGTCACAAATCATTCTTCTTAAAAACGCATGAACCTGCCTCTCAGACGCACACAATTTGTATTATTTTTGCAAGCACTCTACTAATGCTGTGTTTTTGACTAAAAGGGATTGTCTTCCGTCAATCAGGTGCTCTTTAAATTAGTCATTTTACTTACTGTCATGTTTTGTTGTTTTGTTGCAAAAGTCTTGTAAATGTTTTTGGATAAAACTTTTTTTATTTTTAAATGTTCTTTGTTATAATAAAAAGTAATATTGTGAAAGTCTGTGATAAGAAACCAGAGGTGGGAAGGTGGTTTTGGTACTTTAAGTATATTTCAATGTTAATACTTTAGTGCTTTGACTTGAGTAACATTTTGAATGCAGAACTTTTACTTGTAACTGAGTATTCATACACTCTGATACTTCTACTTTTACTCAAGAAACTCAGCTCATAAACAACATTAATGGACTTAAAAATGAATTGTTCAGGTCTTTGATTCTCTTCTGTCAAATGTCTGAATGTCCATGTTAAATTTAAACTTGACACTTCACAAGATCTGACATTTTGTATTTGTGAATTGTAGAGGAGGCTCTGCAGAGTTTGTTGGAGAGCCTGACGTGTCCGCCTTTCACGCCCACTCAGCACCTGGAGAGGGAGCAGGCTCTTGCCAAACAGTTCGCTGAGATCCTTCACTTCACGCTGCGCTTCGACGAGCTCAAGGTCTGCCCTCACTCAACTCACTCACGCTTCCTTCCTTTCTAAATGATATGTCGTTTATTCAAAAGTCCTGTTTAGGCTTTGACGGTTCCCTTGTTTCCCTTCAGATGAGAATTCCTGCCATCCAGAATGACTTCAGCTACTACAGAAGAACCATCAGTCGAAACCGGATAAACAACATGAATGTGAGTTGTGACTGAAATTACGATATAGGAGGGATTAATCGTTTTGGCTCCTTTTATTCTTATTGTCATTTAAAAAATATATTATAATGATCATGGTATAAATTTTTTATTGATCTATTTTGAAGAGAAGCTGTTCCAAAAAAAACTGTTTTGTTTAGTCTGTAGAAAATGACTTCTGCACAATACTTTATTCAAAATCAACACATATTTAGCCTTTAAGAAATATGGTTATTCTTCCTGCGATCTGAATATTGTTATAAATATACAGCCCTAATCTGCAGTGTTGTCTTATTCTAGAAGATAATGTTAGAAGGACACAGGAAAAGTGTTCACTTTTGTCACATCAGAGAATGAAATAGAAATAGTTCAATGGGGTCCTACGGTATTAGAATATTTAAGAGAAGGATGTCATTAATGTACAAAAAGAGGAAAATCTTCCCCACTGACACTTTGTTGATGTGTGTTTGTCTCCTGCAGTTGGACATTGAGAGTGAAGTGAACAACGAGATGGCCAACAGGATGTCTCTGTTCTACGCTGAGGCCACGCCCATGCTGAAGACGCTCAGCAACGCTACCACAAGCTTTGTGACGGAGGTGAGAGTGCTGACATCACATCACTGCTGCAGCAACTGTGACTGCAACACATTAGCCACACAGTGATGGTTTTCTAATGCTGTAAATCTCTGCTCTAACACAGTGCTTTCAGATGTTTTGCACTCTCAATACTTGGATTAGAAAAAATATGAAAATATAACACCTGATATCATATGTGTTTTTCTTATGTTTTGCCAGAAACCATATCATCAAGTTGTAACAATTGACTTCTGTTTGCTTCTCTTACAGAACAAGACCCTTCCACTGGAGAACACGACGGACTGTCTCAGCACCATGGCCAGCGTCTGTAAAGTCATGCTGGAGACACCGTGAGTCACCATGCTTTTCTACACAAACAAAATACATCTCAGTTCTACCTTCACTTCATAACTCTCCTCCTGATCCTCTCCTCCCTCTCTGTGTACAAAGGGAATATACGAGTCGTTTCAGCAGCGAGGACACGCTCCTGTTCTGCATGAGGGTCATGGTGGGAGTCATCATTCTGTACGACCACGTTCACCCCAACGGAGCCTTCAACAAGTCCTCCAAGATAGACGTAAGACACACACACACACACACACATATCTGTATAACAGCATCACTGAGGACCATGGCCTTGTTCCCTGATGCTGCTCTGCTCCTCTCCTCAGATGAAAGGCTGCATAAAGGTCCTGAAGGATCAGCCGGCTGATAACGTAGAAGGCCTCCTGAACGCCCTCAAGTAGGTCCTGCTGGAGTGTGGAAGGGTTTTTCTGAGACATGTATTTTATATATCCATTTTGCCCAGAAAGTTATGAATAGTTGTGTATTTCAGTCAATTTACTGTATAATTTATTCCACTAGAGCAGGGTCGGCAAAACCTGGCACGCGTGCACACCGTAACCAGTGGCACACTAGGAATAAGTGGAATAAGGGTGCAAAAATATTTCAAATGTATTTTCGGATCCTGAAAAAGACCGCCGCCAGGCCGCGTCTCCCGTTACCTGCAGAAGGAAGCCATGCACGCAGCCCCACTCTCTTTAACTCCAGGCGACTTTCTGCCGATTTCCTCCGTGGTGCAGTGCTGATCGTTTCACCACAGAGGAAAGCACTTCACTAATTGCAGTACCCATAAGGAGCTGTACAAATGCCGCAGTTTTTGCGTGACTGTGTCTTTAGTTGAAAGCCCAGTGGCGATCTGCTCATCGAAATAATATGCTACAAACGGGCGGACTGGCCAACTGTGTGTTGAACTTTCCTGTCGGCTCCCAGACCGTAGTCGAGGAGGGGATGATTCTCTGTCGTCTCCCAGGGCAGAAGCAACAAGCTTCAGGTTCAATAACCCACTTTAGCTTAAATGAATGGAGAGAGGCGAGCTCTTCTGGGAGGCCGTTGCATTTATTTAGTTGTTTCAAAAAAATACATCACAGAGCTCTGTTTTTCTGCTGCCTCGTTTCACTTCCACAAACATACACACGCTCGCTCACTCTTGCTCTACCATCCACACACATGCACAAGCCACACCGCTCTCTCTCTCTCTTAAAGGGACAGCGATCTCATCTCACTCTGCATGACCCTAATATCATAACATGTGTGCTCTGGAGAATCACAGAACGGACGATCGTCCTTATTATTATGCCGTTTAAACCAATTATTTAAATTTGTTTGTTAAATTCGGCATCATGTAAGTTGTGCTGACAGGTCCACACACTGCTTCCCCGCAGCGTCAAGCTCCTCACCCCCCGTGATAATTTTACACGATCGTCGGCACGCTGATAACAATTTTTATAATGGCACTTCATACAAAAAAGTGTGACCGACCCCTGGTCTAGTGAACCTCTGGGTGAAGGACAGACCTGATACACTAGGTCAGAGGAAGGGGCCTGGACAATATTTAACAACAACTACTGGTTAAAGTGTTTTACTGACAGTACCTTGTACAGACATGAACTGTAATTATCACCTGGTTTCTGTCTTTCCAGCTGTCGGAAGTTGGTGTTTCCGAAGAGAACCGAGGATTCGTGATGCGTCA